GGCAGCTGCCTGGGGGCCCAGGGCTTCTGGCAGAGCCCCCCCCCCCGCTGCTGATCTGCATGCCCTTCCCCTCCCCCGTTTGCTCACAAGCACTCCGTCATGCAAGCTCCCAGCCGTACACACTGCCCAGCATAGTCAGGGAAAAGACATGTGAGTGGTGCAGGCCACAGTGAACATGGGCAGTGAAAGGACATGCAAGAGGGTGGAGGAAGGATGCACAGGCATGTGGGCTGGTGGGTGCAAAGGGAAGCCTAAGCGGAGACGTATGTAAAGGAGGAGGGGCACTGAGCACTTTCTGACCAGCCCCCAGCCCAAACTGGAACTGGCCCCGTTTGGAGGTATTGAAACTACTTCAGTAACTCTTAGAACAAGTTCCAGGTGGGCAGCCGTGTTGGTCTGAAGCAGTGGAACAAATTTAGAGTCCAGGGGCACATTTAAGACCAACAAAGGTTTATTCAAGGTATGCACTTTCTCAAATATTTTTTCGATTTTTTCACATTATTTCAAATATTCAAATATTTTTTCAAACGTTTCAAAGTATTCGAAAAAGTGTGCACGCACATGAAATCTCATACCTTGAATAAACCTTTGTTGGTCTTAAAGGTGCCACTGGTCTCTACATTTGTTCTTAGAACAAGGCAGGTCGGTAGTCTTGGGGAGGCGGGGGTAGAAGTTGAGAGATACCGACTTGCCCAAGGCAGGATTTCACTCGGGGATTTCCAAGCTCTGAACAACCATGTTTCACATAAAACTACCATCCAAAAAAGGCTTTTTAAAGGCCTTCCAACTACTGATCCGGAGCTGCGGTGGCTCAAGTGGTTAAGACGCTGAACTGCAGGCTGTGGAAGGTCGGTAGTTCAGCAGTTCGAGACCCTAGTGTGCCGCATGACGGAGTGAGCTCCCGTCTCTAGTTCCAGCTTCTGCCAACCTAGCAGTTCGAAAGCAAGAAATTGCAAGTAGATAAATAGGTACCGCTTCGGTGGGAAGGTAACAGCGTTCCGTGCACCTCGGTGTTTAGTCATGCTGGCCACATGACCACGGAAACGTCTTCGGACAGCGCTGGCTCTTCGGCTTTGAAACGGAGATGACCACCGCAACCCTAGAGTCGGACTCGACTGGCTTTCGAGCAAGGGAACCTTTACCTTTACCTTCACAAAGTACTATGAAATATTTCATCGTATGTAACCAAATAAGCATTTTCTAAGTGTTACTGTATAGCTAAGCCTTGTTCTATGATTGTTAAATGTTTTGAATGTTAATTGTTGTCATACAAAAATTAAAAAAATTAATTAAAAAAGTAAAGAAAAGGACAGCAACGTTTTTTTTAACAGCAGGTGTTTTATTAGCTGTTTTCTCCACCCCCACCCCCCACCCCCGGTAATATAAATTGGGAGCTAAAAATTCTGTATTGCGGCGCCATGTAGATGTTAGGGCTGTATGGCTTGGTACTTTTAGATTGTTTTAACATGGGGTGGGGTTTCTTTGTGCGTAGGCATCTGTTGTACACCACCCTGAGCCTGCTCTGCAGGGAGGGCAGTAATTATCCAAATTATTTAAAAGTTCAATGAAATAAATAATAAACACTGTTTTCGTCCAGAAGGAAACTGCTTTGTTGGGGGGGGGGGGGGAGGCCCTGGGGCGA